AAACTGGTGCTTCCGTGCGTGCCGGAGCGCACAAGACTCACGTGTACTAACGAGGCCCAAGGTCAAACTCGAGTACCACCTTTCCAAACTATGGAGAGAAGGGGAAACTTTCCCCATCATTCCATAGAAAAATCTCATTCAACGAACGTTAATGAAAGCAGATGATACTCGTTTGGTTTTCTTCTAGGTAGTAGTTCGGGATTATTTATAATTGTGTATGAAATAAAATAGATAGCCCAATAAAATACCTAGACCTAAGCGAGCTGGACAGTGTTGGTGCGAGCCGATCTGTGGCTTGCACTGCCGCGCCGTGCCCGGCCGTGCCCCGAGCGCGCCGAGCCGTGCCAAAAGGCATTGTTGCTGCTCTGTGCGCTGTACCCGGGGAGGGACTGTGCGAGAGGGGGGAGGGCATTGTTGGCCGTTGCCGCTCGCGCTGTAGCCGGAGGAGGAGTTGTCGATGCGTCGCGCAGGCTGCGCTTCACGCATTCACTGACTATCCCGCCCCGGCAGCCAGCCCCCGTTATTGTTAGGATACAGCCTTGGTTTCTGGACTCTGGAGTGAAAGCTAGCTGACACCTTTGAGTGTTTTGTATTGTTCTAGTGACGTTTTAAAGTAGTAAAGGTATCTGCGAAAAATTGGTGACTTGGACTGATGTTGTACGTGTGTCGCCCTGCACAAGTTGGCAACCCTTCTGACTTGGCCGCCGCCACCTAACAATCAACTTCACTGCCGCTAGACAATAACGCGCGGCTGTTTTCGTCGAGAGTGGTGAGTGGTGTCTGTTGGGAATGAAATCGTTGCAGCAAGGATATCACTGTGGCAAAAAGGTACGGAAAATTCTGGTAATTTTTTTGCCAGGATTCTCCGTAGCCCTCTTATCAATATTCTCCGTAGGGCCGTACAGTATTCTCTGTAAGTCCGCACAGTCTTCTCCGTAGGACCTGGAAGACTGTATAGTCCTACGGAGATCACTGTAAGATCCTACGGAGAATATTGATAAGGGGGCTACGGAGAATTACCACAATCTGTTTACAGAATTTTCCGTAGCTTTTTGCCACAGTGATTGAGGGTTCGGGGATTCGGGCAGCATGAAGGAGGGCACAGAGGTCAGCATGGAGGATGTATTGGTAGTCTAGGAGAGGCTCAGAACAGGGCGGGGACCGCGGGTAACAGTCATGGTCGTCATAAGAGGAGGCGCACGGCCGCCAACTACGGGGTGCCAACATCATTACACTACACTCTACAAAAACTGTCCGGTCAACGCCGTTAATTTATTACCAATGTTTGCTGTTATGCAATTCACGGCGTTTGCTGTGAACTAGTTCACGGCGTTCACTGTGATCTCGGTTACAGTGTTCACTGTGATCCTGGCCACAGTAAACGCCGTGAATTGGAGGCTGATTTGCCGCACCTCGGTGCTCAGCGGCGTCAAACTCACAGTGTTTACTGTGAACCAGATCACAGTGAACACCGTGAACAAGATCACAGTGAATCGCGTGAGCAGATCACAGTAAACGCTGTGAATTGACCTACGGTGAAAACTGATAATAAATTTACGGCTTTAACAGGACATTTTTGGTAGAGTGTACCCCCCCCCCCCTTTTTGAAAAGGGCCGGGAAGTACGTCTCGATGAAGTGTAGCTTGGACTTGGCAGACTTAGCGTAGCTCCTGTAACTACTTCGAAGGATGACAGAGAGCAAGGCCCAACTTAGATGGCATTTCCCGTGAGTACTGGCGCATCGGTAACGTTCTATTATCGTGCTTAGCAAGGAGGCTTGGGTTGCGCTTTTTACTGTGTACGTTACGGTCGCCTGTCAGGCGCCACGGGCCTGCAACCTAACCTAACCTGGGGGAAGGCCGGCAGTCGTGTCGCTTTACGTCTTGTCGTGAACGCTTAACGTTTCTAGACTGTGGGCGCACAACTTCGTAACCGCAACTGACAGCCGGGCCTTCGACTTCACGAAGACTTATTGATATCCTTGTTTTACAGAGCCATGTGCGTGTGGCAATCGGCCGCGGCGATGCTGCCGCGTGTAAACAGCACCCGGGCGGTCCTCCGCTGCTCTTGTTTTCGGCCCCGGCGCTCGGACGATGATGAGACTGGCACAGCTCCTACCGCCACCCCTGTCGACGCAGTTCCCAAGGCTGACGCCGCCATCCCCGGCGGAGCCGCCGACGCACAGTGGTTTAAAATCCTGTTTTAGAGGGAATAAATCGATTTTTCAAAAGTGTCGCGGGGGGCATTTGGGGGTGGGAAACAAAACCTATAATACTCCAATACAATATAAAAGGGACGTTTATAGATTTTTATATGACGCGGGAGCCACTGGGAAGGGTTGATTTTAGTCTTTTGTATTTTGATCAAATTCACCTAATTTTCCTAGATGTTTCCTCCCCTTTATTTTTCCAATGAGGGCGATGCAAGGGGATGCGGGCGTTTTTTTTTTTCGTATCATCATTAATCAAAGGATAGCAGCACACAGCGCAACATTTCGTTCGCGGTTTTGCTCACGGTGGCGGGTTTTTGCTACGAATGCGTTCAAAACATTAAAAAAACACACTTTTGGAGTTTTGGACATCGATGGGGCGGAGTTATTGGAGCGAGGCGCTTCCCTTACATGTATTTTAACATGTCCTGGCGGTGACTTTTCCGCATACGGCCGCAACACGAAACGCAAGGGGACCAACAGAAAAAAAACGTGCCAAATTGGTTAGTTTTGGAGTTAATCGCTTCTGGTGTGCACCATTCAAAATGAAAAAAAAAACATCAGTGCAATTGTTTTTCTTTTCAATATTTTTTTTCTTAGGTACAAAATGGTTTAATGCGACTCAGAAGTTAAAACTAAGTATTTTGAGCATTTTCTCAGTTTTGCACTTTTTGTCAATTCTGTCAATTTTCTTCTAATTTTGCTATTTTTCTCATTATTTTAGCATTATAAATCGAATTTTTATCGGACCACCTTTTCCTTTGAACTGGTCTTTGCCTATTGCTTACAGGTGATTCAGTTCAATTCTGGTAGCATTTGGTCGCACGGGACGCTTGCTAGGACTTATTCCCCCGAAAATCGCATTTTAAACCACTGTGCGACGCCGCCCCCAAGGCCGACGCCGCCCCCACAGCCGCCCGAGGTCCGGCCGTGGACGCCGCCGTGACCCTCCTGGTGGCTGCTATGGCCCCAAAGCTCAACATGATGGGCCCCATGGACTCAGATGCGGACACCCTGGCCTCCCCACCAGCCACCATCATGACGCCAGAGGAGGCCCTGATGTCTGTCTTCAGGGGGCGCAGGCCAGGCAGCGCCGCATTGAGGTGAGCACTCTATAAAACTGCACATTTATTTTGCTTTTTCTTGAAAATGTGCACTAATTTATGGTTGCGAAAAGGTACTTGAAGTAGAAATAATGTTTTCGCATTTACTTATTTCAATTGATGAGCCTAATTCATTGTTTTTCTGTTGTGGTGGACAGTTTGCAATAACCACCATGTTCATGTCTGATTTCAGGAGCATATCGAAAGCGAGGGGGCAATAACTCCCCTTTCTGGTGAACACATGATTGCAAGGAGGCGGGATTTCGCGGGATTTCGCGTGATTTCATGGATTTCGCAGGATTGCGTTGGATTGCAAGGATTGCGTAGATTGCGCCGGATCTCTTTAGATTGCAGGCGATTTCAATGATTGCGGTCGGATTTCATAAGATTGCGATGGATTTCACAAGATTGCAATAAGATTGCGATGGATTTCACAAGATTGCAATAAGATTGCGATGGATTTCACAAGATTGCAATAAGATTGCGATGGATTTCACAAAATTGCACTATGATTGCGCTGAATGCAAGATAACTGTGTTGGAACACCCACCACACCACAGTGACACGGGACAGTTACTGACACACTACTAATCCAAGTGTGGACCAGGTTCAAGTTTCCCAGCGTGGTCTACGGTGGCTCACGCTACCTAACGTGGACTTGGTCTACTCTTAAATTAGCAGTGGCACTTGCAAGTTCTCAGACATTCCATTAGCCCCTGAGATATCACCTAAAATCCAAACGCAATTAATGTAGCGTCAACTGGTGCAATGGTTTTGCATTGCACATGAAGTTCGATGCATTCCCATTCCCATACATTGGCATAGGGCATTTTCGCGAAGCGTTGCTCGTGTAACGTGCAATATGGCTGTGCCATTGCACGTATGGTGCGATGTCTTAGTGCATTGCATCATACGTGCTGTACTCATACCGTTTGGAATCTCAGTGATCCCATTGAACATAGATAGTCGGTGTTCATCCCAGTTGGGCTGCAGAGAAGACTTTTAAGTTTTAAGAAAGATGCGCCATCTTAGAAAGACCAAAGTTTGATACCCCCCAAAACGGCCCAAAAGTCAAATCTTATCATACACTGTGGAGCCTTAAAACATTGACTAAAAACGGGCTTTGTCAACAGCGACAATTGTTACCGATTAGCCAATGATATAACTCTAATTTCACAGCAAAACATTTCGAGAAAATTAATTCAACTTTGAACTGTAGTTGCTTAACTGGAAAATGGGACTCGGGGCTCTTACCAACAAAGCCACATAAATAACGGACCAGAACAAAATTTGCTCTGATTCAAGCTCTCATTGAAGTTTAAAACGTAAAATAAATGATTTAGACGCCTTGATAAGACATCGGGGCCTACAAACAGGAAAAAAAACAGAAAACCTTAATCCCGTCAAAAAAGTTTCTCCGCGTCAACAATCACATTTGAAAGTTTCAGAACTGGTCAAGGCCCTCGCCTAGGTCTAAAAGAAACAACATTCAAGATGCAGACTGAAGTAACGGTCGAGTTATTGCGCGTGTCAGGGACTGCCCCGGGGTGGGGCACTACCTGACAATGGGGTACTTCAAATAAGACCTAGACCGGAAGTCGGCGAAAGAACGAGAGATTCAAAGGAACATCCCGCGGCCGTGATGAGCGGTGGTGGGGTCCAGATCGGTGGAGTGGGGGTGGAGAAACACGTTGGACATCTCTGATATGCATCTTCCTTACGTCTCTCTTATTGGTCAGGTGGACTCCATATTGCTGCACTATGCCTTTTCGTTCTTCTGGTGTGGCAGTCTTCCATTTATTGCACAGTTCACACTGATCTTTCTTTGGTAAGAAAAATCCTAAGTTGAACTGGGTATTAAATATATTTCTGTATGTAGAAATTGTAGCAGGAGTCTCAACATTATTTTCACCAGCCCACTCCTTGTATAGCTTGAACATTCTTTCAATGCTGTGCACATTTGTTTCCAAATACTCTCTTTTGGTCCTTTCTCTAGTGTAGTGGGACGCAACTCTTGGAAACAGATTAATGTGAGTGCGAACTGATTCTATAGTTTCTTCAGAAATTTTGGTTGGGCGGTTATTATGTTTACCTCTCTGATCAGGAACGAGACCATTTGGGCCCACTTTCTTCAATGAGGTTTCAACCCAAACATCTGGAAGGCCAAGTGTATTGATGAACATGGTTTTGCAGACACGCACTTCTTCACGATCATCAATAACAAAATGATAACTTCGGACTGTTTTGCGTGCACATTCTGGTGAAGTTGAGCGTGTGGCTGGGACTCTTTCATCAACAAGACGAGTTATATAGTCTCGTTTCCTTTCAATACTCTCCAGAGCCCAAAAGTTTTCAAATATATTTTGTCTCTCATCATTTGTTAGTTTTCTTTCACACCTATTACACTTTTCTGAACATGGAGGTTTTATAGATCTGGCGGGTTTCTCTTTTCCTTTTGCATTTGTATATGAGGAGCCACTGTTGAAGCTTCCTTTGCATATGTTACGCTTCCACCTTACAGTATGGGTCACTCGTTTCCTGGTATTATCTCTTGGAAGGTCTTTGCGAGTTCGTTTGGATGCAGTAGATAAAGTTTCTTGTGCTGGAGTGGTTGATCGAGGTGAAGGAATTGGATTTTCTGTCACAATGTCCTCTTGAAGATCAGTTTCAGGATCATCTGGTTCCTCATCCTCAATAAAGAAGTCTGCACCGATGTCATCATTTGAGAATACCATAGATACTCTTGGGGTTGGTTTAGGATTGACACCAGCTCCATTTCGAGGTTTCTGCTGTTGATTGGAGACATTTCTAATACCTGCACAAAAAGAAATTTTTTTAAAAATTCTACTGCAAAAATTTATTTACTAAAATTTAAATGTTTGCTTGTACCTCTTAGGTTGCTGTTGCATCTTTTGGAAGTATTGCTGTCAGTAGGGTCAGTAGAATCATGAGTGTCCCTCTGAAAGTTTCCTAGATAAAAAAAAATTAAGTAGTAGCATGGGTAAAAATCAAGAGGTTTCCCTGTATTATGCCATTCACAGTGAGGTGAATATGTACCATTCTGATATGATGAGTTGTTGATTGAGTCAGCCTCATGATCACTTGTGTCATCATTGCCCCTAACTCGCCAATTTCCTGGAATGCAAAATAATAAAAAAAAATTTAACAGAAACCCTTTGCAATGAATGTCATCCTTTACTAGGATAAATTTTCTAAAAATTTTCTAGTCACCTGATGTAGCGGGGACTACTTATGAGTAAACTGGGGAGTTTGGAATATCGGATGAAACCGTAACATTCCATTTGGCTGGACTGCTTACCGAATTTTTTTCTGGAGTGATAATTTGAACTGCAAAAAACAAAGTTAAAAGATGTTTAATTTCTTAAAATAGATGAATCTGGTTAGGTCATAAGCAATCATTGGCTGCTCACTGGAATCAAAATGCTATTCAGTCTTGAAGAGAACATTATGCCACAAGCCCTAATCGAGGGGGGAATAACTCCCCTTTCTGGTGAACACATGATTGCAAGGAGGCGGGATTTCGCGGGATTTGGCGTGATTTCATGGATTTCGCAGGATTGCGTTGGATTGCAAGGATTGCGTAGATTGCGCCGGATCTCTTTAGATTGCAGGCGATTTCAATGATTGCGGTCGGATTTCATAAGATTGCGATGGATTTCACAAGATTGCAATAAGATTGCGATGGATTTCACAAGATTGCAATAAGATTGCGATGGATTTCACAAGATTGCAATAAGATTGCGATGGATTTCACAAAATTGCACTATGATTGCGCTGAATGCAAGATAACTGTGTTGGAACACCCGAGAAATACCGTTTATTTACGTGGGTTGTCATTGTGTCTATTTTTTTTACAGACAGTGGGTCTTTCAAAGTATAGGTGGCAGTGCTTTGGTTTTTGGTGATTTTGTTGCTTACTATGAAAAACTTTTATAGCCACAGACTGGACTCCCAACTCCCATTAGTTCCAAAGTTATGAGGGTTTTAGTGTCAATTTAGTCGTTTTTTAAAAATTCTCCTTGCGAAGAACCAAAAAGTTTACGGAAGTGTGATTTTTTATTTTAGAGCCCAATAAACGTGCAAACAGACTAGCACAGCCAGATTTGACTATATGCAAAGGGCAGCCGGAATCTTATTTTGAAAAGTGTATTTTTCTTATTTTTCTAAAATTAATTAAAGTTTGGTAAAAATAAATTTTTTGAGAAAAATTTCTGTTTAATGGTGGAAATTTGGAAATCCGGCTTTGCCACGAGATAGGCAAATCAATAAAGAACTTGTAAAACAAAAATGAAGTCTCCACAACTTTTGGTTCTTCGCAAGGAGAATTTGGGAGAAACGACCAAATTTGTTACGTAAACTTCAATAACTCAGAAAGAGATGGTATCAGCAGATATACATTCTCACCAGATATAATCTCACCAAATATAATCCCACCACATATAAATCTCACGAGATATAAATCTCACCAGATATACAGTAATTAATTTTATTTGTTTAAACGCATATTCGCACGAGATATAAATCCCACCAGATATTAGGGTGCGTCGATATGCACGACTTTTCAGATGCAGCTTTTGGGTAGCACTCAAAAGTTTCGTTTTTTTGTGCTGATTCCATAAATGACCTCGGTTTTGCGATAGGACAAAGCCTTCATGACCCTACCGGGCGTTTTATGTCAAAAAGCGGAGTTTTTGTATTTTTTTTGTTTTTTGGTTCCGCATTCCATCCTAAACTGTCGGGGCGGCTGTTGCACGGTCGGATGGCCACCGCCTACACTAAATACAAGTTTTGCAGCTTGGCAGGACCACCGGACACCTCACGTGTGTGTCCCAAACCTCAATTTTCACCCTTTTTTCACAACAATTTTTCACTTTTTTCCCTTTTTTTCAGCTTTTATCGAGGATTGTACCGACCCAGTCGGTCTATACCATGACCAGAGGTTGTATAAAACAGTGTAGGGGTACATAGAACGCAAGGCAGCCCCCGGACCGGGGCTGTGTAGGGAGGGGGAGGAGAGAGGGAGGGGAGGCGGAGAAAACAAATGCCCAAAATCGGCCCAAATCAGCTGTTTTGCCCTGTTTTGCCTGTTGCTAAATACTGTATTGCGGTGCAGCTAGCTCGGCAAGTGTTTCTTCCCCTTGCCTACGCAGGACTCACCAGGAGCGCGTCCGCTACGAGTGGATACGCGCGGGAAGATGCCGCAGCACCGCCGATCGGAGCGCCCAGCGGCAGTGGTGGGGACTTGCGCGGGGCACCGTGAGACGCGAAATTTCAAACTGGCCCGGGGAAGGGAAGACACCGCTTGAAAAAGGAGCGAACTAGGGTCAGTTGGGGTAATTATGGGGCACGGGGTAATAATGGGACAGCTGATTCTTAGTCAAGATTTGACATTTTTGAACGCATTACATACCAAATGTGATGTTTTTATTGAGAAAACAATTTTTGCTACGGCACAAGTTCTAAAATCTCGATTCTTGACTAAAAATCAGCTGTCCCATTTTTACCCCGTGCCCCATAAGTACCCGAACTGACCCTAATTAAGTTGTCAGAACAAAAGAAGCAAGTAGCAAAACAAATGTTAGGGAAAAGCGCGCGATTATCGGTCATTTCTGTTCTGTCGGTCAACCTGTGAAGATGTACTCAAAGGAAGCATGTTCACTGTGAGTAACAACACTGGCTGCCTTAGACTTCTTTTATCATTTCTCTATAAAAAAATTTTTTGTCTGGCCTCCGGTGTCCAGCTACATATGAACACAAGAAAACCTTGTACAGGCACATGCGCTCCAGACATGGTCTGGATCCAACAGAGGCAAGCAGTGAGCCTAAGAAAGGGGGCGACTTGTTACGTGTGTGACAATGTATGTGTAGTCTCATGTACATGTGAAAACCACCTCATCGGCTTAAAACATCTGTAAACATCTTCACACGGTCTATTACAAAAAATCACAAACACCAATCAAACTAACTATTGAAGAAGCTCAGTTATGTCCGCACAAATTTTTTTCCACTTTTTCCGTTCGGACCCACCTACATAGTCCTTCGTCCGCCAGGGGCGGCACAGTCTCACGGTGCCCCGCGCCAGTCCCACCACTGCCGCTGGTCCGCTGTTCGTGGTGAGTCCTGCGTAGGCAAGGGGGAAAAAACACTTGCCGAGCTAGCAGCACGCAATACAGTATTTACCAACAGGCAAAACAGGGCAAAACAGCTGATTTGGGCCGATTTTGGGTATTTGTTTTCTCCGCCTCCCCTCCCTCCCTCCTCCCCTCCCTACACAGCCCCGGTCCGGGGGCTGCCTTGCGTTCTATGTACCCCTGCACTGTTTTATACAACCTCTGGTCATGGTATAGACCGACTGGGTCGGTACAATCCTCGATAAAAGCTGAAAAAAAGGGAAAAAAGTGAAAAATTGTTGTGAAAAAAGGGTGAAAATTGAGGTTTGGGACACACACGTGAGGTGTCCGGTGGTCCTGCCAAGCTGCAAAACTTGTATTTAGTGTAGGCGGTGGCCATCCGACCGTGCAACAGCCGCCCCGACAGTTTGGGATAGAATGCGGAGCCAAAAAACAAGAAAAAATACAAAAACTCCGCTTTTTGACATAAAACGCCCGGTAGGGTCATGAAGGCTTTGTCCTATCGCAAAACCGAGGTCATTTATGGAATCAGCACAAAAAAACGAAACTTTTGAGTGCTACCCAAAAGCTGCATCTGAAAAGTCGTGCATATCGACGCACCCTATTGAACATGGACGGCAAGCCGTTCGGTGGAAGGCCGTCGAAGCACAACGGGGCCTCATGGGCCCGGGCACTCCCACCGAGCTTCGGCGAACATTCATCGGGACGTGCATCGGCGTTCGGCGGCGTTCGGTGGGTGATTCCACCGAACTTAGACGCGGCGCGACAGTTTTCCGCCGAAGAAGGCTATTTACGCCGAATTTTCAGCGGGGCTTTTCGAAAAAAGTTTTAGCGTGAATCCGGTACTTTTGGTACCTATCAAAAACTGCTATAATTTTTTCAGTCGGTTGACCCTCTTTTTCCAAGATCCCGATGAATGCAACTGCTGAAGTCAGACTCCTGGGCCCCCCTTCCGACAACTCGTTGAAAAGGTCTTGACGAGACTTATCGAAAGGTGCATTAAATTTTTGGCTGAGCGATAGCGAAGCCTGTTACTCCATTGGGGTTGAAAAGTTTTTCCTGTCTGTCTGTCCGTTAAGGGGTATTGAAATGCACGTTTTTTGGCCCGTCCCGTTTATTTTTTGTAAAAAATTGACGGAGGGACGGGCATATAGTATGATGCATGCTGTGCGTCCGTTCGTTCGTCCGTTCGTTCGTCCGTTCGTTCGTTCGTCCGAGGACTTCCCGTGGTCCGATCTTGACCAATTTGGTATGCAGCCTCCTTGGGTGACCCTAAGAACCCCCCGGGTGGCAGCAAATCCGATCCGAGCCCCGGGGCGCTGCTGCAGGTGCATCATGGTTTCAGGGGGTCGGGGGGATCTCGGCAACGGATGCAGCTAGCATGGCATGTAGGGTATTTTTGGAACCGGGCGACGAAAAAAAACCAATGGTGCCACTTTCGAACGAATCGGAGAAGTTCGGCCCCGGGGTTCAAATCCCAGTGGGGTATTTTTAAACTTTTTTTTTATTCGAGTTTTTGCATTGTTTCTTATTTTTTTGAGGGCGCTGAGACGAAAAAAACATCTATTTTGACCCCAGACTCAGGTTCAAACCCGTCAGGGTTAAACAAAGGAGAAATTCACACATTTGTTAATGTACGGGACGGGCCAAAGTTGCCGATGTATATCGCTACTTTTCCTGTTATTTGAATTCCATACCGGCACACCCGGAAAAGGGTTCATTCCTACCTAAAACCACCGCAAACCAAATTTGAGACCGATCGAAAAATATTTTGGGGGCGCTACAATGGCTGAAAGTTGTAAAATTTTACGTAATTTGAAACAAAATACAACTTTGGAGTATTTGAAGCCCTGTGCATCCGGTGTTGGTCCTAGCTTGTTGCCCCTGGAGACTTTTTTTTCCCCGGGATCCAGGCCGACCGAAAGAACCCTACGGGATGCGTTTTTAGCGAATGGTAACGGAACTAGGTCCATTCTACGCTCAAAAAAGTGTTTTTTCTCCGCTGTTAGTGTTTTAGAGGCCTGCCAAACTTTTGCCTTGCGTCACAAAAAATCTAAACCCATGTATTTTGATAGAAAAAAGGTTGCTCTTTCAAATGGCGGTCACGGAAACAGTCTACGATTTTTGGTTTAGGCTCCAGAGCCGTTTAAAGCTGAAAAATGGATTTTATTTTATTGAAAATGAGAGCAAATTTTCACTCTTAGTCACGTGCGACGTATGGTTTGGCCACAAGTGCTACCCAGCGAAGTGCAGGCGGTGCGCTGTCGTGGGAGAAGTTTCCCGGGTAGAAATGGACGGCTTTTATACGGCTGCTTAATATTTTGTGACCAAAGTTACGCGCTGGCGTTCGAAAAATACCTGGATTATGTTTCGACTGTGTCAGCCTCTTTGCTCCCATTCGTTCACAGCAGGTTGCAGCAGCTCCACGCTATAGACTAGCTGTTATTGCCGCGCGTGATCAACAGAGTTCGCTGGATCGTGACATCATAGGCTTGACCTGGGGCAGGGACCGGCTGAGTCCACACGGTCGTGGGTACGTAGACGGACCGCTCAGCTGCAATTCTTTTTCAGCGATGACGCTCTGGCCCAGCGCCCAGCAGATCCGCTCTTGTCTCGCAAGCGGCAGGTTTGTGGATCGACGCCAGTGGTCTCTCTTTTGCTGCTGCGGCCAGCGATGCGGCAGCTCTTTGCCGATATATTGTCTTTGCCTTCTGGGCATCTTTTTAAGGTCGTTTAAAACGACGTCGGCCGGCCAGAGACTGGCAAAACTTCCACAAAATATCCGAATATTTTGTCGACATCTTGCTGACACAGTCCAAACATAATCCAGGTATTTTTCAAAACGCCTGCGCGTTACTTTGGTCACAAAATATTTAGCAGCTGTATAAAAGCCGTCCATTTCTACCCGGGAAGCTTCTCCCATCACCTGCACTTCGCCGGGTAGCGCTAGTGACCAAACCATACGTCGCACGTGACTAAGGGCGAACATTTGCTCTCATTTTCACTAAAACAAAATCCATTTTTCAACTTAAAACGGCTCTGGAGCCTAAACCAAAAATCGTAGACTGTTTCCGTGACCGCCATTTGAAAGAGCAACCTTTTTTCTATCAAAATTCATGGGTTTTGATTCTTTGTGACGCAAGGCAAAAGTTTGGCAGGCCTCTAAAAAACCTAACAGCGGAGAAAAAAACACTATTTTGAGCGTAGAATGTACCCAGTTCCGTTACCATTCGCTAAAAACGCATCCCGTAGGGTTCTTTCGGTCGGCCTGGATCCCGAGAAAAAAAAAGTCTCCGGGGGCAACAAGCTAGGACCAACACCGGATGCACAGGGCTTCAAATACTCCAAAGTTGTATTTTGTTTCAAATTACTTCAAATTTTCAACTTTCAGCCATTGTAGCGACCCCTAAATATTTTTCGATCGGTCTCAAATTTGGTTTGCGGTGGTTTTAGGTAGGAATGAACCCCTTTCCGGGTGTGCCGGTATGGAATTCAAAAAAACGTGCATTTCAATACCCCTTACTGTCCGTCTGTCTGTCTGTGTGTGTGTGTGTCCGCACTACTCCTCCTGAACGGCTCGGCCGATCTCGGTGAGATTTTGCACACTTTTTGGGCATGTCCTTGGCTCGTCACACGCGAAATTTCACTATCCTAGCTCAACTGGTTCAGTTTTTATAGTCGGAAAACACCTAAAAAACGGCGAAAAATCGAGTTTTCTGCAGGCAGATCGCTTCTGCCTTGAAAAAGGGGGGTCTGGGGGGGGCGGAGCCCCCTAGCCCCGACAAGTTAAAAAGTTACAGGGGATCTAGAATGAAGGTGCAGTATGCATCAAGTAAGAAGTAACCGACGATGGACAAGCCATTGCCTGCCGAAGGCAGGCTAGCGCCGCAGGCCAAGGTAGGTACGCCAGGCGCGGATTGGAGGAGCAGGCAGCGAGACATCGCGAAGCCTGTTACGACAAGACGCGGTCTGGCGTACACCTACCTTGTTTAGTCGGTGTACAGAGAGCCAGCCGCGACTTGGTCTCGGACACCGTCGACGGCCTGCCTTACCTGGAAGGGATAGCCGCGGGTGAAGGGGGGGGGGGTAGAGAGAGGGAGAGAGAGAAAGACACTGGCCGACCGAAGTGGCCCGAGCGCCTACCCATGCCGCGTGGGGCCTGATTAAAACTAGGGGTACGCGCCGTTTAGTTTGGGCGCGTAGCAGGCGAGCGATGCGTCTGAACACATTCTTATAGGAGATGGCGAAGAATATGTGCAGAATAAGGCCAATACAGTGTCTTCCGTAACGAAAGGGCCGGAATTCATGCCCTTTTCGTGATTATCTTACTGAAAACTGCAGGAAACAATGGGAAACTCAACTTTGAAATTTTGGTCACAAATTGGTAAATTTTGGGAAAAGTAAAGGTCTGGGATGAAATTGGAAGTCATTTTCGTGATCAGCACACCAAAAACTGCAGGAAACTGTGTAAAGCTCGACTTAAAAATTTTGGTCCAAAATTGGTAAATATTTGGAAAAGTAAAGGTCTGGGGTGAAAATAAAAGCCACTTTTGTGATCAGCACACCAAATACTGCAGGAAACTATGTAAAACTCGACATAAAAATTTTGGTCCGAAATTGGTAAATTTTGGGAAAAGTAAAGGTCTGGGATGAAATTGGAAGTCATTTTCGTGATCAGCACACCAAAAACTGCAGGAAACTATGTAAAACTCAACTTAAAAATTTTGGTCCAAAATTGGTAAACATTTGGAAAAGTAAAGGTCTGGGGTGAAAATAAAAGGCATTTTTGTGATCAGCACACCAAACAAATACTGCACGAAACAATGACTCACCGAGGAAATTTTGGTCCCAAATCATGTAATTCTAGTCAAAAGTATGGGTCTGCAGCTGTTAACATGAACGCAATTTCTAAGTGTGTTTCCTGTTTATGGTGTCGTAACATGAACCCTGACTCTGCTACTTAGTTGAGTAGCCAGCATTGAATTGCTTAATGCGATTCACAAATTTCAATTACCATTCGATATCTCCTTGTTATTGAACTTATGAATACGCAATGTTATTAGTAATACCTCAAAAGTCTTTTATCTCCCTTTTATTTTAAACTAGTGGATGAAACTATATTGATTTATCTCAATTAATTAAAAAGAGACACATTTACAGGCAGGCTGATTGCAACTACTTAACGGAGAAGACCTTCTGTCAGATCCAATGAATCGTTTCATAGAACCCAATGTCGAGCCCACTTATTGCTAAACGCAAGTTAATCTTATTCTTAATGATAGTCATGATGTGATATTTAATCTTTGAAACAGTATAGCATAAGTATTTACCTAACATTCTGAGTAAATTAAAAAGAGAGCCAACTCAAACCATGAAGACACAAATTACCAGTTGTCGCAGACAATGTATGATGAAGTTAAAAGAATCGTCTCATGAAATCATATGACCAAGTCACTGAATCGTCTCATTGAATCAGATGTCAATGTCAAACCATGTATGCGCTACACTTACTCACTCACTCACCATATAGTTATCTTTAAGGTTAGTACTATAGTTAACTTACAGCATTGCAATGAAGCCTTTTCCCAGAGTCAGTGCCAAGAGTCAGCAAAGACTATTTATTTTGGCAAAATTAGTGTCTGGTTTGCACCTTTAGATTGTATTAATCTATTCTCTAACTGTTATTGAGCACAGCAAACAACTAAAAAGTATAATGTCTGAGAATAAAAATGGAAATACACTCTCAAAGCTTAAAAAGACCAATTCATTCTTGCAATTATCAAACACACTCCACTGACCAAAACATTTCCCCTGTAGCGGTGTGGCGGGGGAGGGGAGGCGGACGGACTGACGAGACGCGTAATAATTGTCACTTTCATTTTCCGTATTTCACTGTGTTGACACTCCGGAGGGGTTTCAATCATTCTAGAATATCGAAAAACTATGACCGAACTCACTTCTAAGCCCTTCTGCTCTTTATTTTGTTTTATTTGCCAATGTTTTGCCAAGTCCCGTATTTGAGAGCCGCGGCCGCAAGTACGAAAAATTGCTATATATGCTGCCAACCTAACCACGCTAAGAACCTAATTCAAAAAGATGTTTTGAATATTTCAAACGGTAGTAATCGTTAATATAAGATAAACTCCCCCTGTGGGAGCTTTAGGAGATGTTCGGTGCAAAATTTGGGAACCATTAGTGTTGTAGTTGCTGAGTAACGTGAGCGTGTACGCTACAGACAGACAGACAGACGCACGACCAGTCACTTTTTGGAGCGCCCAAACACGGCAAGGGCTCGCTATCGCTCGCCAAAAAAACTGCCCGCGTGCACTTTGGCCGAAAACAGAATTTAACCTATTTTTACGAATTTTCAAGTCGCTGCAGCTCCGAAACTAGACCCACACGCAACAATTCCGAGATCGTAGCGTGTTTTGGCATGGTATGGACTACAATTTCCGCTATTTGGTTTGGATTTTCACGATATGGGCATAGGCCGAAAAACTCACTGAAAATTGGTCCAAAAAAACAAATTTTCTGCGATGTTTCACACTTTTCACCACCTTTACCTAGTCGCATCTCAAATCCAAGTACATTTTCTGAATCCTCACAGTTTTTCCTTTCAGAAACCGTGCTGGGAATCATCGTAGCTTGAATAGTGACGGAGTTATCGACCAAAACGTGAAAATATGCGAATTTGCTCAAACCACCTAAATTAAGTTTTAACTAAAACTTTGAGGGCGCTTTTCTCAGGAACTACTGGACCGATCTGGCTGAGATTTTGCACAGAATGTTTTTTTGATAAGGTCGACCCACAAAAAAATGTCATCATGATCCGAAATGGTGACCTACAAAAGTGGCCGATTTGGGATGGAATGCCCCAAACCAACCTGACCTGAGGCACAATTATAAGATAAAAACTTAATTTGGAGGTAAGTCGAATTATTCCCATTCTTCCGCTTCATAGATCAAACGGTGCGAGCACTTCCTTCCTTTGTAAGTAAATTTTACCGAAGAGTTTTCAGTCACTGATGGCACGACAATAACAACCCGTTTTCTATCTCAAGACGCATGGATTGGACCACATACGCCTCGTTCCGCGGCAGAACGCAAAAGTGTTTTAGCTGCCTCCAGCCGAACCGTTCTGATAAAGAATGGAGATTTTTAACAATGTGTTTCAACATGCGATTCCAGATTGACAAAGGCCGCTCCGCACCCGACCGACCACAGCCTCCACTCTTCAGGGGTGGGGTTTTTGCACCATGTGATGGGGGCTCTGTGACCTACTCTACACTTGCAGTCTAGAATGCGAACACCACCTCACGCGGCCAAGTGCAGAGGAACATTCTGCCCTAGGAAGTGTAGAGTCATCAACACTTAGTTTCGCAGAGAGGGACAAGCCACGATACGGCGTTCACATATTTTGTTAAGATTCAGGGCACTTCTTCCGCGATCTGGACCACTGCAAGTTTAAGGGCAACACCCTTCGCTTTCTTTCAGACTTGACACAGGATGGAATAGTCCATTAAAGAGTCTTCGTCAAACAAATGGGTAAGTTCTTACTGCTAAAACATGACTGTTTCAGGGGCCTCATTGGACGTACTTGAAGCGATTGGATCCATGCATTCCCAATGGAACCATTTCACTGCGTTTGCGCACCAGCCACTTCAACCCTCACAAACCTTGGGAGCTCCAAACTGTTACAGGGAATTTAACGATCACGGAACCGTTCGGAGACAACATTTGGGTAAAGAAACTCGTTCTTGTGGGCATCTGCAAACTGGAGAAAAAAAACCGTCTGATAAGTGTTGCTTCTTCTTCCCCCTCTTGGGGAAAACGCCCAGATAAGATCTTTTGTATAGGAGCCCACGATGACAGCCCTTCAATTTTCCAGGCAAAAACAACTTCAGCCGTATGGGCAAACAACCAATGGAAAGAAAACGCCTTCGTTTACGATCTTCATAAAACTGGGTGCTCCTCGTTTCGTAAAAATTTACCCGGCTTTTTCAGCCTCTTGGCAAAGATGACCGGAGCTTCAACGAACCCATCTGATCCCTGTTTCATAAAACCGGTATGCCTCGCACTTAACTCCCGCGTGGGGTCCGTGCAGAACAGTCAGATCTTACATTATACTTACGCGACAGGGCAACCACTCGCGAAGTCCTGTGTAAACTTGACTTGCCAATCTTGCGTGAAATCAGTAGAAATCTCGCGAAATCACATCAAAATCTAGTGAAATCTCGCGAAATCCTACGAAAATCTTACGAAATCTGGCATTATTCTGACGCGAAAAACCTGCTAAATCTTGCGAAATCTCGACGAAAACTCTACCTTTAAAGAATCCTGTGTACAAAAAACAAATTTCGAGTGGTTGCCCCCTTGTACGTGCGTTGCTTGAAAGGGATTTTATTAGGAGAACCAATGCGGGATACGACTTTACTACACTGGCGGAAAAAATTAAGGGGACACTTTTTCAAAGTGACCTCAAATCTAGAGTTTCAGAGCTAGATGGCTTCAACTTTGACACAAGTTGCCTTCAAGTGTTCTGAAGACGCGTGCAAAGTTTCACTGACGAGGTTGGACCGGGAGGGGGTGATCAAGGGGATATCACTGTGAATTTAGGTGTACAAATCTCGCAATTCGATGAATTTCAGTCGAAATTTGATGAACTTCGGTCAAAATTCGATGAATTTCAGACGAAATTAAACGAATTTCAGTCGAAATTTGATTAATTTTAGTCAAAATTAGATGAATTAGTCAAATTTTGATAAATTTCAATGAATTTCAATGAATTTTACATATCTAATGAATTTTGGTGTACAAATTTGGCTTGAGTTATTTCCCCTTGGGGGTGATTCACCCCCAGCAAATTTGAGGTGCAAAAAAAACGCAACTTTAGAAGCGACCAGCCTGGCTCTCGGGGGTCAAAAAAATCGGAAAACGGTACAGAGCGATTGCCCTTGACGTCCTCTACAAAATGCGACCCACTGTGCGAAAAAACCACAGTGAATCCCGTTAATTTTTTTGCCGGGATTTACTGTAGTTCAGAACACAGGATTTACCGTGCCTGGCTACAGTATCTACTGTACCTGGTACAGGGTATT